GGAAGCAATAGAATGGGGGTGGAGACAGATGCATAGGTAGCAGGAGATGCTGTATAACTCAGAGGTCGGTGTCATGGCTGACCTTGCAGGACTCCACACTCCTGCCACAACAAAGGCAGAGTGGGTGGCCCTTAATCTCCCTAGCTTTCTGCTTCCCTGCTCGTTTAAATGCAGAACTGCTATTTTAATGTCTCAGAATTACATGTACCACCTAAGTTCTTTCACTTTAAAATCTGCATGACTGCAGGTTATAGCTGCAGGCTGGACAGCTCGGCTCAGCCCGGGTGGGGTTGGCTCCTTCAGCTTGGGTGGCAGAAACATGGGGTGGATGATCGAGCCTCAGGCTCTGGGAGCCACACCAACCTGGGGTCTGGGCCAGTGCCACCACTTCCCACCTTTGTCACCTGGGGTCTTAGGTTGAGCTCCCTAGAAACAGAGCCTGACGTTCTTGTGAAAGCGATTTATTGAGAGTGGGCTCGGGAGGAAGGGAAGCAGGGTAATACAAAGAGGGGAGCTAGACCGGAGTGTGTCTTGGCTGGAGATCAGTTTAACCTGGCCCCACACAGGGTCTCTGGGGCACAGACTAACCCAGATTTGGTTTCACCTTCCAGAGGAACCCAGAGTTTTCTACTTGGGTCACTGCAAGTGTCCTTTGCTACTGTAGGCTGAGGGGACAGCCTAGCCACAGCGCTTAGCACCAGGACTGGGAAGAACATGGGAATTATCATTTCTATTGAGTTGCTTAGGATCCTCTGCAAATTGTGGGTCATACATTAGTTCCTAGAATTGGGTCATCCTTCTTAAGTGTCGTGTGTGTGTGTGTGTGTGTGTGTGTGTGTGTGTGTGTGTGTGTGTGTTGGTTGAGTGTGTGTGTGTGGGGGGGTGAGGGGTGGGGAGTTGCGCCCTTTAAAGGCCTCAGAGACAAAGGGCTCCAGACAGCAGATGAGAGGAGCCCAGGAAAGAGGAAAGAAATCTTCTCAGGGTTGGGGTGTTGTAGGGCTCCTCTCCAGAGAGTTTAGTGGGTATCCTGCCTCACACATCCTGTGTGTGCTGTGTGGAGTCAGCTGGTCAGAGCTGGTCAGCTGGTCGGCTGAGCTCTCCTTCCTTGCTCCTGCCCCTCCCCATGGCTGTTTGCTGCCATCTTTGTCCCCTCCCGGCTGTGGCCCTTGAGGATGGAGCCGAACTCTCCACTGTGGTCTGCTGCCTTAGACCTAGCCATTCACTAAGTCAGCATATATTCTCCTGCCCTCAGGGCATCTTCTGTCTGTCCAGGTGGCCCCTGTGAGCCACAAGTCTTTGAAAGATTATGGAGTATGTGGGACCCTGCCCTCTACCACCTCCTGTGTTCTCTGTAACATCAAATCTCCCTTCTATCTCTCTCATCCTGAGGGACATTTGTGACTCCTGCCCCTCAACCCCAGTCCTCCTTAAACTGTCCCCAAGTCCTTTTAACCACAGACCCCTGCCAGTGGGTGGGGGCTCAGTCAGAAGCAGGGGCCACTGACAACACAAAATTTCTCTTCCAAGTCTGTGGACATTCAGGGAAAATACAAATTATGGAATATTGAAAATGGTAATTCTAGAACTTTCATGAGAGCATGGACATGTTTAAAAAAGTACTCTTACGGCCTCCCTGGTGACACAAAGGGTTAAGTCACAGCACTGCAGCACAAGTTTGATCTCTGACCAGGGAGGTGACCCACATGGCACAGCAGATCTCTCCTGCCTTGCCCACTGCTCCCCACAGCACTGTACCTCACTAGATCTGCCTGTTCTGCTCTCTGTCTCTGGTGAATCCTCTCAACACCCACCCCCTTACACACCTCTGGCCTGCACCCCAGCTATTGTATGCATAAATAAATAAATCGTTTTAAAGAATACTCTTAAGATTCCTCAAATGATAAACTTCCCCCTGCCCCCAGCCCTGATTCTTCCAATAAACTCCTGCTCTAGAAAGAAACAGGTGATTCTGCACTGTCCCTAACAACTCCTCAAGCCCAGATTCACATACATCCCATTTTAAGATGGACCTCAAACTACTTGCACTGCTTTCAAAGCCCCCACTAAGAACCCCAGTCTAGTGGCATCCCCCTCTGCCTTCTCCCCTATCCTGGCATTCCAAACTCCACTCCAGCCCAGACAGCAACACTGGATGCTGGCTCGCTCCTCTTCTCCCTGCACTTTGCAGCTTCTTGCCCCCTCTTATTCACATCTAAATCAGAGTGGTTGTGAATATATCCTGCATCAGCTAGCTCTGGATGGGATCTTTCTCCAGGGCCTTCTGATGATGGGGGCACCAAGGTGAGAGTGTGGGTTCTGGGGTGCTATGCAGTTTTGGGGAAAGAATCTTGTCTTTCTGGGAAGGGTTAACAAGATCAGTGATCCTTTAGACCCATTCAGTCTTAACAGTCTGAGTGCACAGAACCAAGTGGTCCATGCAACTTGGTTGTCATGGAAACAGATATTATATGGTCTGCGAGTGGCAGAACTGGTTATTTGTCTGTCAGCAGGGGATGAGGCGGTCATCCATTAAGATGTGGGTCTCTGGTCCATTCAAGAAATGAACGTGGTGAATTCAATCATTGTGTGGACCCCAGGCTAACAGGACATTAGTACAATGATAATAGTTGCAACCAGCTAGTGAATGACCAATGAGGCCAGGTATTGTGCTTAGTGCTTCACACAGCAGCATTCATTTAGCCATGCATCCAACACTTACACTTACTTATTGATACATATGTTGTGCCCTGTGCTGGAAGCTGGGGATCTAGAGATCAATCAAGGTACCCTCAGTCTAGTGGGGAAAACATGGAGTCAGTGGATTTGTGCCATGATCAAAAGAAGCACAAAAGGCTCTGGACCCAGATGAGCAAATGGCCCCCAAGCCTGATGGGTCAGTGTTGATTTCTCAGAGTAGGAGGTGTCTAAAGTAATGCATAAAGAATGAGTAACGGTTATGCAGGAAATATGAGTGGCATAGGAGGAAAAGGCATTTTGGATGGATGAGCTTGCAGAAAGAAAGGGGATAGAGTGAGGAAGAAAAGAGAGGGAAGGACAGAGAGGTTGAGGGAGGGCAGACTTGTTTTAGAGAATTTCAGGTAATCTAACAGCTATGGAAAAATGAAAAGAAATGTGATTTGAGAAGCAAGTTAAAGTCAGTTGGGCTGATTTTAGTGTGGGCAGGAGTGGCCAGGAGGGACAGGGCACCTCATGGAGACCAGTGGATGGGTTTTGTTATCATGAATTGTACAACCTTCCAGCAAGTAGGATCATCTCTATTTCAGAGATGAGGAAATTGAGACTCCAAGACATTAAGTTTCAGGGTATGCAATTAGTCAGATATGGAACTAGGATTTGAACTAAGGTATTCCTGCTTTCAAAATCAAATAAGCTAAGAGTCCGATAATCTATACCATATTCAGCAACACAGGACTTGGCACAAACTACATGTTTCATAAATGTTTGCTGGTTGGCTGGCTGGCTAGATAAATATAAATAGATGGAATCTGTTAACGGCAAGAAATGCTAAAAGATTTCAATAAACAAGCTGAAAGACCATGGGAGTGTGTCTGGGAGCCTGTCCACAGAACGGAAGCAGCTTAGAACTTTTTATAGCATTGCAGACGTGGTGATGACAAAGGCTTGCCTTCCTTCAACAGCTCTGTTAATGATCTTTTAAAGTCCTTTCAGAGCAATTTTTTTTCTTCTTTCCATTCTTGCTTGCAAACGAAGGATGATTTTAGAATCCAAGCCTTTTTATTTTGCTAAAGTACATGATGAGTAAAATGGCCTCTCAGTCAGCACTTTCCAATTTTGAAAGATGCTAAAAACTGATCTTTAAAGGCATGTTTCTCTTCTTTATGCATCAAAGGGCCCCAAGGCCTGCTGGAGAGGACACAATGAAGGGCAGGAAGGTAGTACCACCTGCAAGGCTGAGGATCAGAATGGAGGACAGGAAGTGGCTGGGTGGGGGGCTGGGGTAGGGTGAAGGCCAGGACCTGACTGGTCTGGAAACTTCCACACATCCCCTTCCAGCCTGTTCTCTATGGAACAGGGGTCAGCCTGGTTCCTCATCCCCTAAAAAGTGACCAAAGACTCCTTACCCTAACCAAGAAGGGAGACTTGGGCAGACAGATGCTTAGTAAATGTTTTTGTAATAAATAAGTAACCAGATTTATTGTAAAATACATACCTATTAACCATAATAAGTTAATAAGCACAATCCCCAGTATTGAGCTTTGGAATATACATCGCCCTTTGAAATAAAGATGGGCCAGCAGATGGTTATAAAATACAAATAGTGGCTACCACTTACTGGGTTTTACTATAGGCCAGAAACTGTGATAAGTACTTTAGGAGGACTATCTCATTTAGACCTCTCAGCAGCCCTATAAAGTAGTTGTAGTCTTATTCCCATTTTGCAGATAAGGAAGTTGAGGCTGAGATAGGAACAGCAGCTGCCTGATACCCCTGAAGCTTGTGGTGGAGCTGAGATTTGAACAAAGGAAAGAGACTCTGAAACCTCTTAATTGGGCTCCAGGAAGGTAGAACAGTCTAGAACACTGGGAGTGGGGGTTAGCTGGGGTCTTGTTTCTGCTGGCAGCTCTTCTGGAGACCTTGGAAACTCCTTCCTTTCAAGAGAAAGGCCTCTTTCTCCCTGTGTGTAAAGGGATGTATGTAAAGTAAGGAAGATTAGATGGTGTCTCAGCACCTACAAGGTTTGCCTGCTCTTGTGGGAGAACAGGGCAGAAGCTTTAGCCCGCAACCTGTTCCAACTAGCACTAAGGCTTTCAGGAGATCAGGGAGGACCTCAGCAGGAGGTGGGGGCAAGCTGGTCAGAGAGAACCCTGGGTGAAGTAAGGTTCAGCCCTGCTGCCTGCTCATGTCTCAGCTGGGAAATGTTCTCTGCCTGTGTAGGAATGTTCTCTGCCTGTGACCTCAAACCATCTGGAGGTCCCGCTCACCCACACACCTTCACATCCATGTCCTTCTGTCCACAGGGCAATGACGTGCGGATCATCCTCGGCCAGTTTGACCAGCACATGGCAGCTAAAGTGTTCTGCTGTGTAAGTAAAAGCTTTGGTGGTGGTATTTGTGTCAGGGAGACTCACAGAGCTTCTCCCAGGACTCATTCGCACTGCCTGGGCTGTGGGTGATGTCAGAGGACTGGAGTCTGGGTTGTTGGAAGCAGAAATGGCCTCTTTCCTCTTTTCAGGGAGGGTAAACCCAGGGCCCATGGCCAGGCAGCAGCCTCGGTTTAGCACACCCATTGCCTGAGCCCTGCTGGTTAACTCTAGGTCCCCTGACTCGGCCCCTTCTGCGGTGTGTACTGCATGAAGGGAGCCCAGGTGCCAGGTGGGACAGAGGCCTCCACCCACTCCCTGCCCAGGGAGCAGGGTTCAGAGTCAGCTTTAGAGCCACTGTCAGTCATTCAGCATCCATCCCTAACCCTTTGAGTTGTGTACTGTGTGATGGGTGGCAAAGTACTTCTTTATACATATCTCATTTAACCTTTTCAGGGACAATGTGGAATAACTATTTATCCCATTTTAGAGATGAGGAACTAGAGGCCCAGAGAGGTGAAGGGACTGGTCCAAGGACATTCACGGCAAAGACAGTGGTCCCCATTCACCCCCTTCCCAGGCTAATCCTGTTTTTTCTGTTGATGTTCTAACCTAAGTATATGAAAGAATTCCAACTCAGGACTAGTCTTTCCATTTTGATACCATGACTCCCTCTCCTTTACCCCAGGGTCAAGAGAACAGGCCACAGAAATGACAGCCCAGTCCTGTGAGTGACCGTCTATACTGTAAACTCCTCCCCTCAAGGAAGGTCCACCTAGGTGTGTTCCCTAGTGATGGACCTCGGACCTCTGTCCCCTCTGATCTTTAATCAAGAATGTCCATAATATTGTAAAAGGCATGCTTGTAGAAATTTTAGATCTCGTGAAATCTGTCGGATGACAGAGCAAGTGTCCAAAGATCCTGAACAGACAAGCCCATTAGATTAAATCCAAAAAGATTAAATTTAATGTTGCTAATATAGGATGATATTAGAACAAATCAAGCTCCCTATGTCCAAGGTGGTGGAGGCAAATGAGATGTTCTGTGTATTTAGAACAAAAGAGACGTTGGCGCCTCAGTTGACCTCAAGGTTTCTATGAGTCACCAGCATGAGTGCAGCTGCAGGGGACTAGGGTGACTTCAGCCTGCACATCCTTACCCAGGGCAGGGGGCCCTCTGCTTTCCTGGACCCTATTTCAGAAGAGATGCGGAATTGAAGAGAGACCAGGAGTGAGGAAAGAGCAGTGACCTGCAGCTGTGGTCCCGTGGTAATATTAATCCTGAAGTCTCGGAACACAGTGAGCACTGCCTGATCACCTCTGCAGGTACCGGGGGAGAAGCTACACAGCCACTTCTGGACACCCCAGATGCAGTTTAGCACCATGAGTCAGTCTTCTGGGGTGAGAAGCCCTGGTCTGCTGCACAGTAACTGAATTTGGCTTGTGGTCGACACTTTTTGAGCCTCAGTTTTCTGTCCTCCCTGGGGACAGTAGCTCCACCGATGTCGTGGAATGATTGTGAAGATAAAATGAGCAAGCCACTTTGCACAGAGCCTGGTGTGTAGTAGGACCCAGGAAATGGCAGCCTTCTTTTGGTGTGAGGTGTCTGAGGCTGGAATGGACCCCTGGGCTGGCGAGTTTACTAGCTGGTAGAAATTATATGATTGCATTAAGCAGTCTTTGTATGCATTAAGGGTCATATGGGATGTTTCCATAGGAAAATCTAAAAACAGAGAGAGAAAAATTAAGAAAATAGAGCAGGGCCTCCTTGGTGGCGCAGGCAGTTGAGCACAGCACAGTGAAGCTGTCTACAGCCTCTGCAGCGCTGGTTCCATCCCCGCCGGCCTTGGAGCAACCCACATGGCGAGCAGACCTCACCCGTCTCGCCCGCTGCTCCCCTAAGCAGTGTATTTCGTCAGTCTGCCTGTTCTGTTCCCCACTCTGTCTCTGGTGAATCCTCTCACCCTCCCCACATCTGGCCTGTACCCTGGCTCAGGAAGGAAGGAAGGGAGGGAGGGAGGGAAGGAAATAGAGCAAATTTATTTGATTTAATATATTTTCTTTCAAAATTCATGAAACCTTGCACATTACCATCTAAGGTCCAGAAATGGCCCATTTTAAAAAGGAAAATAATACCTCAAGTTGAGAGGCATAATCTATCTTAGGAGAGAAACTGGGTTTTGCACCCCCATATCCCCCAGGCCTTGCAAGCAGCTGGCACATGGTAGGTAATAACTCCAGGAAAAAAGAAGTAACAAAAAACTTCCTGAAGATGCCACTCTGGGCACTGACCATCTCCCATGTGCAAGAATTGCCAGCAGACCTCGTGTGCCCATTTGTGCCACACCCCAGCCGAGGCGTGGCTGAGTCCACTCTGTGCTGTGCCCTGGGGCTATTTTCCAAGTGGTCCTTCCCGCTCTCTGCTTCAGAACGCACGGTATGGACATCTTCCTCGTGCCCCACAGCCCAGGCTGCCTGCCTCGGGCACACAGGAGGATACCCGCCTCCTCGTCCGTATTCTCCTTCCTCTCGTTCGGCTGTTGATATTTTGAAACGGGCTTCCTCGTAGCATCTTTGCAGGCTGCTTTGCAGGGCCTCTCAGGAGGTTTTGGTTGGGTGTTCATCCACTGTGTCACACCCTCCGGGACCTTCAGTCTCACCTGCTTAGGAAGGAGTTAGTTCTGGGGGCAGGTGTGGGAGGGCCGAGGAGGGCCTGCTTGATGTCATCTCGCTGGAGTGAGTCTCTGAGTGATGGAGATAAGGGGTGCTCAGGGCAGACACCCACCCAGAGAGAGTCCACAGTGTGCTGGGGTCAGAGTGCAGACCAGATGGGAGCAACCGCATCTCTGCCTCCCAAATGTCGCAGTGCAAACTTTGCAGCATGTTCTGTGTTCTTGAGATTGGAACCGCCACCCAATGGGAGAGCAGACTCCAGCAAATGAGGGACTATTTATAGCCCAGTGGCAAAATGTTCATTTTGGCTCCAGCACAGTACCAGCATGGCTTGTCGCTTTGTTTTCCCCTCCCTCCTTGGTGGTCTATTCTAAACTCTCCAGCGCTCCAACCTGGGTTCTGGTTTTAGCTCCACCAGCTGTGTGACCTCAGGCAGGTCACTTTACATCTCTGCACCCTGGCGGCCTCACCTCTAAAATGGAAGCAATGATCCCTGCCTCATCTGCCTCATGGGCTTGTCAAGAGCCTTTAATAAAGCCACCAAATGGAGACCATTGTGACAGCTGTTAACTTCTCAACTGATATGAGGGCTTATTGCTATTATTGTTGTGAACTGGAACTCAAAAAGGAAATGTCCCTGCAAGGGGAAGAGAGGAGGCAGAAGGAAACTTCATGAAAGAGGAAATTGAGTTTATTTTTCCTTTAAAAAAAAGTTTTTGCGAACTAAACCTTATTCATTAAGAAGAAGCTCAGCATACTGCCTGTTCTTGTTGAACTGTGATTTTTTTTAATGTAACTGAAATATAAGAACTCTGCATTTTCTACAAAAGTTCAGATTGGGACAATATTATACAGTAATCACTGGAAAAAGGGCTGTGATCTAAGGTTGTATTACAAGACATATAATGTTTACAGTGAGGGAGGGGAAAGTCTTCTGTCATCAAAGGAGTCTAGAGAGGATGCTCAAACAAATGTCCTGAGATGTTAAATGCTCTTTTATTAAACAATTTTTATTTAATCTCCAGAGGAGTCACTGAAACACTGGACAAAGATCAGGAAGATGAGATCTGAGTTTAGATTAATTTGGGGAACATTCTGACTCACACTTACTCCAGTGAGAGTCTCCACACTACAGACTGGGGTTTCTCAGGTGTTAAGAGTTTTAGAGAAGTTGCCTCCCCACATGTAGAAATGAGTAGAGCTCCCCTCTAACCCTTAGACTTGACAGTAACTATTCCCAAGTGTACAGAAACTACTAGGACTGAACCTGGCTTAGCATCCTAGAACCTGAGTGGAGAGCAGCCAGAACCTTCCCAGAGTCCAGAGCAATCTCAGCCTCCTCTCTACATCCTCCTGGATTCTGTCTGTGTTCCATGCCAAGGAATACAAAGGGGTGTGGCATGACTTGTTTCTCAACATGTCCTTCTAACAGAGGTGGCTCTCCAGAAATGAATTACAGAATTGTTTGAAGTCATGTTTTCAAATGTGCACCATTCATCAAAGGGCGCAGAGAGCATTTGTACCCACTGTTTCTCTCCCGTCACCTCTGAACATTCTATTATTTATGGGAGAATGACCTCTACTTAGAAACTTCATTTTGAACCTAATTTTGATGGGACATTACAAAGTGTAATTTTTGGTGCATCTAAGCTATCAAAAGACATACTTTTCCTGATATAAAATAACCACAATAAAAATTTAAGCCAAATACAGGCCCATTAGAACAGTGTGGTGACTTTTTCTTTAAATTGGAGGCAGGCAGTGTGACTTTGTGGCCTTCAAGTAGGCAGACTTAGGTTCCGGGCCTGATTTTTCTCCTTGCTGTGTGACATTGGAAAGTGACTCTCTCTCTCTCTCTCTAAATGAAGATAATAAACTAAAATGAAGATAATAAACTCTGCTCTGACCACTTCATAGGATGAATGTAAATGACAAATAAATAAGATTAGTGTAAGGGACTTTCCAGAGGATCTAGATTTATGCACCCCATGCTTTCTTTGGGTAGAGACTCAGAGAGATTGCTCAGTTTGCCAAGTTGGATTTTTGCTAAACTGCTTACTTAAATTAGATTGTCTCAGTCCCTTGCAAAATTGCTCCCACTGAATTGTATTTTAAGGCTATGGCCTCAGCATTTAGTAAATATCTATACAAAAATTGAATAAAAATCTATACAAAATGTGAAATTTGTTGTAGATATGCTGTTGACATTATGCTGACTAATTTGGTAATGTGCTCTATAATGTGACATTTTTCTAAGGATTAAAACTTAGAAAGCATTTTGTTTCCCTGAAGAACTAGGGTACATTCTTATTGATAATCAGAGTTATGTAAATATTCTTAATGCTCTTTTTTCTTGGGCTACCGGAAGTTCATGGTGGAATATACAGCTCATTAGGTATAGTGTTGGAAACTTTGGGTAGCTTGTTCCCTTTACCTCTAATAACTTATTTATATTTCCCAGTCCCTTATGTATTATTCAGTGTTTATTGTTTTATTACATGTTTCCCATAAACTACTTTGGATTTAAGGCAGGGTCTAAGGAAGTAATAAAAAACATTACATCTTTTGGAAAGAGGAAGGTTGAGCCTCCTCTACCTGTCTCACGGGGAACAAAGCCTTGAGCAAATGTTTGACTCTGGATGCCTTCATGGTTATCCCATCTATTGCAGGCATATGAGGAGAACATGTATGGCAGCAAATACCAATGGATCATCCCTGGCTGGTATGAGTCTTCCTGGTGGGAGCAGGTACACACAGAAGCCAACTCATCCCGTTGTCTCCGGAAGAATCTACTTGCTGCCATGGAGGGCTATATTGGTGTGGATTTTGAGCCCCTGAGCTCCAAGCAGATCAAGACCATCTCAGGAAAGGTCAGTATCTTGGCCTGCCCTCCTCAGCCCCAGGCCTATCTCTGGTGATTGTCTTGTTCAAAGTACCCAGATCTTATTTTGGCCTTTGCTGTGTGACTTTGAGCAAATCACTTGATCTCTCTGAACTTCACTTATCTGTTCTATGGGCCTAGCCAGTCTTTCACTGGTGTACCTCTAGGGTAACATGGGAATCAATATGGTAAGGTGCTTTGTAAGCACATGTCACAGTGTCCATGTGAGGTGTGGAGTGGTGATTTTTATGTCACCAACTACAGGTGTTGCCTTTCTGACCAGAGTGTGGTTTCTCAGTCTCAGTGATGCTGTAGTCAGCCTGGAGGAAAGACAAAACCTTAAGTAGACTTTGGGAAACATGTGCTGTTGACTAACCAGACTGGTTCAAACCTGAGGTTTTCTACTTCCCAACTCTAAGTGGATGACCTTGAACTTGAGTTCTCTAAGCTGCCATATTTTTCATCTGTATAGTGGTGGTAAAAATCACTCTTCTGGGGTTAAAAGGAAAACTGGTGGCTGATTATGTTATATGGCTACCATGTGCTGACCTCAGTGTTGCTGTAACTGGGGGCAGGTCCCTGGACAGGGCACATAAGTCCTCAGTATGTTTACCTGTTCCCAAGACGTGTTAACTAACCCTGCCCTGCTGATCTTGGCTACTATTGAGAGAACCAGGGAATATAGCAGATGTAAAAGCATTTCAAAAGTACACTCTTTTCCATCAGTATAAATATTACCAGGAACCAGGAAATTCAGGTTCACAGTCTTGGTGACACAGTAAGATCTATCTTTCAATTCTAACCACCAGCCAACATTCATTAACACAGAACAGATCCTTCTTTTCTGTCTCCTCTGAGCTCAGATTATTAAATTCTCCATCCAACTCCAATTTCATTTAAAGAATATATTTCATGGTAATGTAAAAAATATATATATATATAATTTTTATCCATTATTTAATCTCAATCGGAGCCAACTCTACAAGAATGATTTATTGATTTGTCAAAAAAAGTGGCAAACCATTAGGACACATTGTAAACAACTCTTTAGATCATGCTGGCACCTGGGAAATCCTGGAAAAACACTGGCTAGAAAATGGTGAAAGAAATATTTTCATACAAAAATCAATGAGTACAAAAAAGGTTTTTGGAAATGCTGAATAATGAGTAGAAACAACTCACTTTATTTCAGTGAGTGTTATTTTTAAAGGTGTCAAAGTTGGCAGCATACTAGAAGATTCTTGAGTCCAGGGATACCCTGGATTTTAATCTAAAAATAGAAAATTTGCAGAAAATACAAAAACTAAGAAAAAATTCCAAGCAAACAGACGGTATAATAATTAAGCTGAGAGACTTAAGGAAGACCAAAGGCTTAATAATCACATGTACGAGATCTGTGAAACTAAGTAGGACTGAGGACCATGCAATGCCAGGAGAAGGGCATCACATGTCCTTCCAAGGAGCGTACACAGCTTTTACAACCAGGGCCATGCCCCATGTCAGCAGTACAAAGGGATGTGTTAGTGGAAGGTTGTTATTGGCAGTGTTTTGGTTTTGGGAGAGGAATGTTTTGACTTTACAACATTTTCAAGGTCATTGATTTCCCTTTTTCATTTCTAAAATTTGGGAGTAGGGAGGAGCCTGACCTCACCCCATATCACTGTGTCCATGGATGGAATACCTTGGGACTGTTTCTGGAGCTATTCCCTTAACCTACAATGCGGGTATCCCACTCATGGGCTCCCAGAATGAAGCAAAGCCAGACTTGCTGCTTGGGAAGGCTTCTGAGATCCCAGGAGACAAATTCCTGTCCCTAAAGTCTTTGAGGGACATTATCAGAGGTTGCAAGATGATTGAAGTTTTAAGGGAAAATTTGAGCCTCTTTGCCTCTTGGAATCAGAGGGTTCCTAGGTCATCTAGACCAGCCTCCCACAGAGTCTCAGACCCTTAAAGTAGCAGAGGGCTCACTGCTCTGTCTTAATTTCCCCCCAGGACCCTCTAGGCCCACACAGGTCCTATTGGTAATGACCACACCCCCAGAGGTATCCCTTGTCCAAACTAAACAGCCCTGTGAGGGCTGTTTAATTGCAATTTACAGATCCAGGGCCAGGCCCAAGGGTGCATTTTCAGCAGGTGCCAAACACCTCGGTAATCAAGATTTTTAAAAAATATGCTAGATGCAGTATTTTCATAAAACTCAAATGCATAAAAAGTTCATGATGAACAAAATATGAACATTTTAAAAAAAGTCAGGAACCATGGGACTGAGATTAGGGTGAACCAGCAGATTTGAGTCACATCATAGCAGGATAAGTCTTTGTCTTCATTAGACATTTTCATATTTTGTTCATCATGAATTTGTCTTTGAAGTGTTGCATTATGATATTATTTGTCTTGGTTACTGAGGTTTTTAACCCCCTCTTTAATTTTTCCCCTGAAAAGAGCCTCTTGTTCACCTCCCCTGGGTCTGGCCCTTCACAGGTTGCTGGAGTCCAATACTCTGTCCCCAGCAGGTGGGGCCCAGAGTTGATACACTCCGGATTGTGATCTGACCACAAGCCAACCTCCCCAGCCAGACTTTAGGAGTCTGACAGAAGTTCTAGAGAGTGGAGAAAGGATTCTTGAATTTGGGTTTGCAGTATACACCACTGCTGGGAACCTTGGTCAGCATGGCACATGCTGCTGACTCCATCCCTGCGTTTGGGGGCCCATCAGAACCCAGAAAGACAGACAGACAAATGGAATCATACCAAGTCAGTGGACTCTGGCTATCCTCACCGTTTACGTATAGAGAGGCTAAGGAGTGGGGAGGAGAAAAGACACACCCAAGATCCCGGTGGTGGATTGAGGGGTGACCCCTAAAAAGATATGTTCACACCCTACCCTTGGAATCTATGAATGTGGTCTTGGGAAAAGGATCTTTGCAGAGGTAATAAATGTAAGGATCTGGAAATGAGATGATCCTGAGTTACCTGGGTAGTCCTTAACTCCAGTGACAAGTGCCCTTCCTCATAAGAGAAAGACCAAGGGAGATTTGCCATACAGAGATCTTGTGAAGACAGAGACACAGACTGGAGTGATGTGTCTGCAAGACAAGGAGCCCCTAGTGTTGTTGGCAGCCACCAGAAGTTAGGAGACTGAGACAAGGAACAAATCTTCCTTGGAGCCACCAGAAGGAATCAAGCTTGCCACCACCTGAGTTTCAGACGCCTGACTTGAACTGTGCTGTAAGCCGCCCAGTTTATGGGAATTAGATACGGCATCACCAAGAAACTAATACAGTCACCCAACAGAGATCCAGGACGTGATGCCAAGACAGCTTATCCCTCGCTCTTTGCTCCACCCCCCTTCCCAGGAGTTCCCTCAAGATGTAGGCAGGTATCCAAAGTGCCCTTCCTGTGGTGTGTCACAGAACCCTGGGATCACAGGAGACCTCAGAGGTGGCCCCAACCTTCCCCTCCCCTGTCAAAAGTGGCTCAACAGGAGTGCTCAGGGCCGGTAATTAGGAGGTGGAGCAGAATCCTGGCATCCCCACCCCTCTCCGCCACCTCAGTTAGTCCCGCTCTCACTCTGAGCCTCAGTTTCCACATCTCAAAATGAGAGTTTTGGACCAGGTAATTCCTGTGGTTCTTTCACGGCCAACTTCTCTGGCTGTGTAAATATGGCATGGGTTATTACAGCAAGTGGTGTGACCTGGTTAAAACGTCAAACCCTGGAATCTCCAGGATAAAGGAAACTCCTGGTAGAGAAAGTGGCAGAATCAGGCAGAAGAGTGACCCCTCCTGGAATTCATTCGCCAAGGCTCCCTTTCCACATGTCTGTGCCATCTCCCTCATTGGTGCCCAGGAGATTTCTGGTAAAAGAGTAACAAGGTCATGGTCTGCATCCAGGGCATGTTCAGCAGTTCTTTCCTATTGAAATTTCCAGAGATGGCACGTGCAGACCTCCAGGCTTCCCTGAGCACATTCAGAGCACAGGCGTCACGAGCACCTCTGGGCATTTGCTCTGCCTCTGAATGTAGCTCTTTCTCCCAAGTTCCCCATCACCACTCCACTCCCGCAGTGAGTCTATTGACATTGCTGATGTCCAGTGTCAGCTTTCACTTTTCAAAGCCCTGCTAGGTTTGTTTCCTTCTTGAGCATTTATAATGCTGGCTGGGTTTCTCCAGGGCTGGCTCAGCCTCTCTGATCAGGACATTCTTCCTGTCATGGTTCTCCTGCTGAGACACTGAGCTGAGCCAGTGTTCCAGATGGAGATGTCACAGAACTCTGGAATCACAGGAAACCTCAGAGGTGGCCCCAACCTTCCCCCTCCCCTATCAAAAACACAAGCTCAGTCCTTGGAAGGGTTTTGTCATGTTCTCTGTCAAGAAGCTTCTGGGACCACCCGTGACTCTTAATGCAACATGGTAGAGGTGGGAAAACACAAAGGAGTAAGTCTTCAACTTAATGACCCATCTCATTGGCACTTCCATGAGCTCCTACAAGATGAAGAACAAAGATTGTGGCACTGGCAGGGAAGCACTGGGCTCTGGAGAGAAGCAAGGAAATGTTCCTTAGAAACTGGATGCTCCCCAGCAGCCAAGTTTCACAATGCTGCTACCTGCTCACCCCCTAACTCCCCCACAGGACTCCTGTTCTGCAACTACCCAACACTCACTTCACTGGGAGACAGGCAACATGGCAGAGGGACAGGGACCTGGGAGGAAGGTGTGGTGGCTGATGGATAGTCACAAGCAATAGGGCAGTGACTAGATCTGAACCTGGACCCCACCACTTCCCAACTGGGTGACTCTGGGAGACAGCTAGCTGTCCATACCAACATCCATAGCACCCATTCCTCCTCAGGAACCCAACTCCAGTTTTTAACTAGGTATGTTGCCACATCTGAAAATCTACAATTCTCAACCTCCCATATAGCTAGATGTGGCCAGGATTCTAAATCTTCCAAATGAGATGTAGATAGAAGTATTATGTGGGACTTCTGAAA